AGGCTAGTTTTGTGTGGTTCCACTTATCGACCTGCCCAGCACAGGCAAATCCGCAGACAGAAAGAAGATTCGCGGTTGAGTGGCTGCTGTTGGACTGTGGGCGTGGGGCTGGGAGTGGATGCTGAATGAGAATGGGATTTCTTTCCTAGGGGGGTGGACATGCTCTGGAATTAGTGGTAAAGGTTGTATATTCTTGTAAATACACTGAAAGCTACTGAAATGTCAATTTTAAAATAGTGAGATTTATGTTGTATGCATTACATCTCAAAAATTACTTTAAAATGGCGGACCAGCAGATGGTGTAATGGTTATGTTGCTGGACTCCCATGTAGTGAACCACAGTTGGAGTCCTGGACCTGGTGGCTTAAAATTCACGCCAGGTGCATGTGTATGTGTGCCCAAAATCCCAAGAGGAGAATGGAGGAGAAGAGGATTGCAGAATGGCAATACCCCCTGGTGGATGATTTCTTGCTTTCTGTCTCTCCTGTGAATGCACATGCCCTGCAGCAAAAATCTCTCTCTCAAAAAATAAATTAAAAATGGGCAAAAGACTCCAATAGAAATTTACAAGTGAGAATATTCAATAAACATGTAAAGAGATGCTTGGCATCATTAGTCATCAAAGAAATGCAAATTAAAACCCTAATGTGATAGGACTACTCACTCACCAAAGTACTAAAGCTGAAAATCCCGACACTACAACATGTGGGCAAGGACGCAAGAACGGTAGCTCTTCCCTTGCTGATGGGAGAAATTGGTGCAACCTCTTTGAAAAATTGGTCAGTAAAATCTACTACATCCAAACATGTATTTATTCTATGACCCAGGGATTGTACTCTTGGTTATACATTCAATAGAAATAAAATGAATGCTTACTTCCAAAAAACAAATGAAAAGGAATAAGAATGTCACAACTGCTTCATTCATAATAGCCCCAAACTAGAAAAAAAAACCCCAAATGCTTACCAACAGGAAGAGAGAGAAGTAAATTGTGGCTTGTCCACAGACATGAATGAACTGCCGATACCTAACAACTTGGCCATACTCAGACTTACTGTGAAACCCTCAGTGTCAGAAACTTCTTTGTATTCCGTAAGCTGCACTCGGGCATACATAGGATCACCTGGATCCATTTTAAAAACTGATTAAATGATTTTTTTTGAAATGCTTAATTTTTCCCCAATACCAGGAGTTACATATTTTAAAACCAAACAAAATACCTTTGTATTATTTCAAAGTAAATTCAAGTGAATTGCAGACAAGTCAGAATATACAGATGAACAAAACCCTCACCCATGCTCCCACCACACAGAAAGACCCTGTGAGCCCAGAGTTGGTCTGCAGGTCTCTGGACACTGCTCTGAGCACTTACAGCAGTCTGAGGGTGCTAACTGCGTGCCGCCCCGTACATACCTGCCAGAGCTGACACGAGGAGCCCAGGAGCTGCGGAGGCCGGAGGCCGGGTTAGAGCTGCTGCGTGCAGGTGGGGAAGCAGCTCACCTGCCTGATCTCCTTATCCGGGCATTAGGGCTCAGCTGCAGCTGCCTCCCTCCCTCCCCACCTGCAGCCCCTTGCTCACTGCGGGGACACTCACGCCCTTTGTATCACTCTCACCCCTTGAACCTCCTGCCCATCCAGGCTACCAGGCTACCTCGCAGACCCCTTGGCGGACTTAGTTTTCTGCACTTTGCAGAAGGCAGTTTGGCAGGTTGATCTCTGTGAATCCATGCCTCCTCCACTGAGCAGCCCGAATAGTCAGCAGTGACGGCATGTTGTCAGCACCTCAATTTTGGCCTCCCTTCTCACCTTCAGCTCTGTAGAACTGAAGAGAATGTGGGGGGTGTCTCCCTCTCCCCCCTTCTCCATGCAGAAATTCAGGCCTCCACAGGTCTCCTTGTCCCCAAAGGAGGG